TTCCAAGGTTTGTGGTTGATTTCGGCTTCTTCATAAGTTGGAGAGGATTGTGTACTGTTAAAAATACTTGCGATGGTTTGCGAGGTTCGAATATATCAACGTTAAGTGCGTGGTCAGTTATATGAATGTTATGATTAGTTTTCCTGTTATCCGTTGCACAGTTACTGTAATTGGGTGTTGCACTAACAGCGGTTTGGATTGTGTTATCTCATTCTTCATCAGCACAACTACTTCGGGTTGAATCTAAGTCAACATTTTTAAGAGGATGAACATCACCTACATTGGGATTACTTTCTTCTGGGTTTTGAACTTTATGAGATTCAGAAGAGTTTTTCGGTGGCGGCAAAGTTGTTAAGCTAGACGTCCTCTTAGAATCGGACTTAACTTTACAGCCATTAGGATTATGATGCGTTTGAGAGTTTGACGCTGATGGTCTGTAGTTATTTCTTCCTGCTTTTCGCTGGCATGGTGTTTTATCCGGAAGAGTCTTAATATCCTTGAAAATCTGTTTTTGTCTCAATGAATTGGAGGAATTTAAAAATTCACTGGCGTCTACAGATGAGTTGAGTTTGAAAAAGATCGGTGAGTGCATACGAGGATGACTTTTTTTTAATCTTGTGCATACACATGGCACGTGTGTCATATTGCTGGCTCTAAGCAGACTAGATTTGATATTTTTAAGGGCATGTGTATCCGGTATATTAAACACAGTTGCATTGCTAGATCGTCTTATTCTTTCAAATACTTCTGATGCAACACAATCTAGGAAAATATTTATGTCATTCATTTGATCTGGAGTCTCTGTGAGGTTGGGGTTGATGAGATATTTAAGCGGGTTGAGAATGTTCATGTCTACTTGCAACTTTTTTATAGCATCCATATGGTTGCAGTTGCGACTATCATCACTGTTTACCATCAGAGTTTTCAACATGTCTGGAATGGAGACAACTGGTAAAAGCTTGTCTGCTTCCGGATGAACGGAGTGGCTCGTCTCGTTGAAATTGTTGGAAATCGTGTCAGTAGTGCTGTTAAATTGTGTCGTTTTCCTACGTTTGGCTGAACGCCTAGGAGCAGGGGTCTTCATTTTCTTTTGTGGCATGATAAGAAAGTGACGTATAGCAAGTGGATTGAACAGGATGTTGGAAATAGAAGGGGGTGAAAAAATCAATTCCGAGGGCTCAAGTTAGTCTTAAAATCAAAATCTATATTTTAACCAAGAGTGAATGTATCGTGAGGATTAGTGGTGTTAAAAACAAAAGATGACAATGGCAGGAAGATAGTAGTGGAGATGAAGTATTTATGTCAGTGTCTGTGTGGAGGCAAAATAGAATATAAAGGAGTAAGTTGTATAAATTTTAACATATATGACACGAAAGATAGCCTTATATGGTAAAGTAATTTAGAAATGTCGATAATTAGTATCAAACAATCAAAAAAGTACGGTATGTGATACATATATAAACTGAAAGTCCGTATTAGTAAAAATTGGGAGGTGCGGAGATAAGTAGTTTAGAAGATTATTACCGTCTAAGATTATTATGTTGCTTCTTGAACAAATATATGAAACAGCTTTTTGTTTTTCTTACGCATTCACTAAGTTTGCGTTTCTTACCGAACTGCATCTGTGTTGTTTTACTTGACACTTGTTCTTGGCGGTAGCCATATTGATTTGCTCCTTTTGTGTGTTCTATCCAGTCAGGATAGAATAACGTTCATTTGTTGTGACTGGTAATTTTCCCTCATCTTCCATCAACTCCTTTATTTATTGTACTTCAGATTTTATTGATTGAACAATTATTGGTTGAATAGCCGGGTGGCAATATTTGTTTAGGTAACGGTTTACATCTAAATTTATGATGAATTATAGAACCGCTATTTACCCGATTACTTGTTTTGATTTTGACGGGCAAGGGCGCGTGACTAAAGTACCTGGACGGCTATTCATCTATCCAAACCGTAGTTTGGATTCTACACCAACTTCCTGGTTTTTCCTCTGTATTGAGTCTGACATGTTGTATAGATATGTGTAGTAATCACATATACAAATTAATATATAGTCCCGACTCGGATACTGTGTGATAAAAACATGCATGTGAAATTTATACTAGAATTTACTTACTTACTTATGCCTGTTACTCCTAATGGGGCATAGGCCGCCGAACAGCATTCTCCAACCCACTCTGTCCTGGGCCTTCTTTTCTAGTTCCATCCAATTATTGTTCATTTTTCTCATATCTATATCCATTTCTCGGCGTAATGTGTTCTTTAGTCTTCCTCTCCTTCTTTGACCTTGAGGATTACAAGTGAGGGCTTGCCTTGTGACGCAGTTGGGTGCTCAATGTGTATCCTGTCCACTTCCAGGGTTTCTTCCTGATTTCTTCCTCTGCTGGGATCTGGTTTGTTCTTTCCCACAGTAGGTTGTTGCTGATCATCTGCGAAGTCTAGATCATCCAATTGCATCCTAGATGTCCATTGTATCCTGTGTTTCCCTTCAGATGTTGACGTCTTCATGATCCAGTCGATCACCAGGAGAAGGAGAAAGGGTGAGAGTAGGCAACTTTGCCTAACACCGTATTTTACGTCGAACGAGTCTGTCAGCTCTCCTTCATGCACGATTTTGCAGTTTAATCCATCATAGGAATTCCGTATGATATCGACTAACTTCTGAGACACGCCGTAGTATCGAAAAAGCTTCCATGGTGTGGTTCTGTCCACGCTATCAAATGCTTTTTTGTAGTCAATGAAGTTGATGTAGAGTGATGAATTCCATTCAATTGATTGTTCCACAATGATCCGTAGAGTTGCGATTTGGTCTGTACACGATCGATCCTTACGGAATCCAGCCTGTTGGTCTCGAAGTTGGGCGTCTACAGAGTCCTTCACTCTGTTTAACAATACCCTGTTGAAGACTTTTCCAGGTATTGAGAGAAGAGTGATGCCCCTGTAGTTATCACAGTTGCTGAGATCGCCTTTCTTTGGTATTTTGACCAGAAGTCCTTCTTTGCAGTCTGTTGGTACTTGTTCCTCATCCCAAATCTTATTGAAGAGAATGTGGAGTATCCGTGCAGTTACCGCTACGTCTGCTTTCAGTCCCTGTTTGATCTTCAGCGTCTTCATTGTATTTGTTGGTGGGCGCATAGCATGGATGACGTTCATTGAAGTGTCCTCTTTCTTTGTTTTGAAGGAGGCTTTGATGATTTTCGGTCCATCAGATTCCCATCCCATAAGTGCATTTTGTGTTTGTTTGGACAGTATCAATGCAACTCCTTGTGTACGTGGGGCATTTTCTTCATCATGACCGGAGTATAACAGAAGCTCCTCTGAAGCTAGTCGTTGTTGTCCCACTTGCGTCAAATGAGGTTGGTGCGAAGCAATGGAAAATATGTTTGTTAGTAATCTGTCAATGTGCTTCACTGATCCCGAGCACCTCTAGGTTGTATCTCCTCATTTCTGCAGCAATTTGGAAGACTCTCTCAGTCTCCCACATTGTACAAGCATTCCATGAACCTAAATAAATGGTTGCTCTGGTTGTCAGAAGGGGCATCGGCCTCGTGACTTCTGAAGGAACTCGGCTTTCATCATGAGGCGTCATAATCCTTCTAAATAAAGACCTTCTGACTCCCAGAGCAGAGTTTAAAAGGTTTGAATAATTTTTTCTGGTTATCGTTTTTTAGCGAGTTAGTTTTCTACGGGATGGGGTCGCTAACCCCATGCCCAACCCTCCTCCTTTATCCGGGCTTGGGTCCGGAGGCAGCCCACGGAGGGGCTCCAGTAAGAGTTATATTAGAACTAAGCTTGTTAATATATCAGGTTGACGTTAATGAAAAGTAAACAATGCAAGTAAGACTGAAATTCGCGTGCTCGGAGCTGGACTTAAAAGTGTTGTGCCAGTTGTTTGAGCTCGTTTTACATGCTGAAAAAACCAGACTAATAACTGCAATAGGCTTTTATTAAGATCATGAAGCAGAGCAGTTGGACCTCGTAGTTCTGATTTAGTCCATTGAGCGTTCACTCTAAAATTATTGCGGTAAATAAATCTCTAAAATCAATAGCGCTGTAAGTCTCCGACGTTTGATGTTAACCGCACTAGTTTTACCGGACTGACCTAGCTGAAGGCGCTCGGTCATGCATCCGCACCAGATCAGGAGTAAGAAGGCCGTGCTGAACATCCGTTTCAACTGCTAGATTGCTTGGACCAAACGTTCCTTCGACATAAGTTAGCCTTTTAAGTATGTCTTCGAACTTTATCATTGACTTCTGATTTGACTGGGTTGGCATACCTCTACTATAAAGGAGTTACCGGTTAAGACATGATCGGACCCTAAATACTTGTGGCATCTGTATCCTTATTGTGTGATTAGTATGGACACACATCTCAGATTATTGTGATTATAGTTGGAATTGCTAACCATTTGTAATGGTGGATTACAAGACCAAAGAAATGGTTCTGAGTATTAATGGTTTGCGTACCGAATTCGACTATTTCTCATTATAACACTGGCGTTGCAGTAGAGTAAGTTCTCCAAAATTTGAACACTGGTTGAAGCAATTAGTTCTTCAAAGACTACAGGGAGGAATTTGAAAGCTGGTGTACGATCTGGAAAGATATTAAAAATGATAAGATCTCAGCCTATTTCCACATATTCGTTATAGAAAATGCGTGTAAGCTGCCCAAGTATCTGGCATTCAGCTAGATGAGTCCAGTGAAAATAATGCGGTCAGCATCAAACTTCGAAGACTTATAGCGCTAATGCTTTTAGGGTTCATTTACCGCTACAAGGATACATATGTGGTCTGTAACCATAGACAGATATATATCAGAGTTCTCCTGTCGTAACAGCGGATAAACGAGGACAAGAAGCATATGTGTACAGAAGCGTATTTGTCAGCGATGTACATCATGTCATGCAAGAGGAGTTGAAAAATGAGACGGAAGAATGAAGGTCACGGGTTCTTTAAACAACAACCTTACATTCAATAATGGTTACTGTACAAATTAACATAACTAGTTTTAAAATAAGTCCATTTTGAATATCCACTCAAACCACACAAACCGAACCTCTGCAGAGTTTGTAAACTACTCTTAGTGCAACATACCAAATATAATTCTTTTTTGTTGCAATTTTCTGGGCAGATCAGCACGTATATTCTCTTTGTTTTCATGATCATTGTTGTGTCAAAATAATTTTGTTTTAACAGACAATTCGTTTGCGCCACTGGTATTGGACGTTTGGAGGCATTTATTGGGTCGAGTTTTTACAGATGGAGTCGAGGAAGGTGTCTTTAAGTGCTAATGCTTTGATTGGAGGCAAATGGAGACTTGTACGAAAGATCGGTGGTGGATCGTTCGGTGACATATATCTTGGACAAAATATGTTAACTGGAGATGAAGTTGCAATTAAATTAGAACCTGTGACAGCCCGACACCCTCAGCTGCTTTACGAGAGCCGAGTTTATCGAGTTTTACAAGTATGCCAAATAGATTCATCACTAGTATTCTCAGAACTCATCAGGAGTGCCGCGGGTTTATTGGTTTGGACCTGATGGTGTAAGCAATCGGTACAAAGCTATGGTTATGGATTTACTCGGTCCAAGTCTTGAAGACTTATTTACTTTTTGTGGACGTAGATTTTCAGCAAAAACAGTGTTAACTCTTGCGGAGCAGATGTTGTGGCGCATCGAATGTGTTCACTACAGAGGTCTTATTCATAGGGACATCAAACCTGACAACTTCTTAATGGGGATCGGTCCACACTGTAACAGAGTGTTCATCGTAGATTTTGGATTAGCCAAAAGATTCAGAGATCATAGAACAAAATGCCATATTCCATATAGAGATGACAAGAATTTGACAGGTACAGCACGTTATGCTAGCATAAATGCGCATGCTGGTATCGAGCAGTCCAGACGTGATGATATTGAATCTCTTGGATATGTTTTTATGTATTTTCTCAGAGGACACCTTCCGTGGCAGGGACTAAAGGTACGATAAGATTTTACGTTTTGTTTTCCAAAATTTTTGGCTAATTAATTATCATATCGTTCTCTAGAATCAAGATTTTTATCCGCGTGTGATAAACATTTATGGCTATGCTATGTATAAACTGGTTAACCAAGTTTATAGTCCACTTTTATTTCGTCTCTAACCAATAGCCGCAACACTGAAAATGTTATTAGTCTAACTAAAAGCAATGAATTTCCGGTTTCATAAAATTCCCTGCCTGCTGATCAATTAGTGTTTACGTCGTTAAACTCCCACCGAATTCCTGCTCCGCGAATCAATGTTTGAAAAGTAGACCACACTGGAAAACCAGTGTTTAGCTTTTAACCCGAGTTAGTTCCAATTCTATTTTTAGTGAGAGACAACATCTCAGATTTCTCAGTAGACTTAGGTATTTCATTTTCGATTTGTTACATTGTAACTGAAAATCCTGTGGCTCATAACTGAGCAAGAGACAGCTATCGCCTCGTGTTTAGGTTAACCACTGAGATATCAACAGAAATAATAGTGCAATATTTTTACTTATATAAATATGCTAAAGAACTAGGATAGCATGGAATGATATCCGAAAAGCTGTGGAAATAGCAGTGATATCTGCTAGCGAAGGCAAGAGAGATGAAAAAGGCAGCGGCAATAGGTAATAGCAGACAATTGTTCAGACTCGTTAGGGAAACCGGTATTAGGAACCCGACTGTTAGCGAAACAATCTCAGAGAAAGATGAACATATTATACATTCACAATCCAGGAGATTGGATCGGTGGGTAGAACACTAGGGATCAGTTCAACTGGCCTTCAGTCACACTTCGGTTTCCCACGATCTCTAGTCAACCTGAATGGCAAGTTAATGTAGGTCCTCCGACTCTTTACTAAGTTGAAAAAGCCATAGGAAATCTGAAACGAGGGAGAGCAGCAGGTCCTGACAGGTTTACTCCTGAGATTTTTAAGTATGGTGGTCCAGTATTAGCAATGAGATTAACCGAGGTCTTAGGTAGAATTTGGGAACTGGACGTAATACCATCTGACTGGACTCAATCACTGATTGTGCCAGTCTATAAGAAAGGACAAAAGTCCTCTTGTGACAATCACAGAGGAATCAGTTTGACTAATATAATGTCTAAAATATTAGCTTCAATAATACTTCGACGCCTAACTAAAGCTCGTGAAGAGCAGACTAGAGAAAACCAGGCTGGTTTTCTACCTGGACGTGGTTGTATAGACCAGATATTCACACTACGTCAGGTTCTAGAACACAGACACACATTCAGACGCCCCGCAATGGTAGTATTTCTCGGACTTAAGGCGGCATTCGACTCTGTTGATCGTGAGGTTCTATGGCAGTGTTTGTCACTGAAAGGAGTACCAAAGAAGTACATTAACCTTATAAAGGCTCTCTACTCGAACACAACTGGTAGAGTGAGAGCTTATGGCGAACTGTCATCAGAATTGATTACCTCAAGTGGTGTTCGTCAGGCCTGTCCACTCTCCCCATTCTTGTTCAACTTTGTCATTGACGTGCTTCTAGAGATAACACTTGCCTCGTCTAAATTTCCAGAGGTTTAACTTCTACCGGGAGATTCACTTGTTGACTTGGAATATACCGATGACATAGTTCTATTTGGTGAAGACGCTGACAAAATGCCGAGTCTTCTGACCACTCTAAGCAACAATGCAAGCATGTTCGGCATATGATTCTCCCCTTCGAAATGTAAAATGTTGCTTCAGGATTGGGTTGCATTGACCCTCGAACTAATGATAAGGAGTGAAGTAGTTGAGCGCATCGACCGCTTCACTTATCTTGGGAGTCGCATCAGCCTTTGTGGTCTGGTGTGTGACAAAATCTCAGCACGGATACAGAAGGCTCGACTAGCTACTGCCAACTTGCTTCATTTAAGGAGTAGGCAAGATACCCGTCTATCAACCAAAGGACGTGTTTACTGCTCAGCAGTTCGTTCCATCCTACTTTATGGCAGTGAAACATGGCCGGTAAGAGTAGAGGATATTCATAGGTTACTAGTATTTGATCATAGGTGGCACAAGTCCATGAAGTCACTGACAAGTGAACTGAGTCATGTTGGTAGGTGTAAACTACCTGATTGGGGACCGCGAGATGATAGCAACCGATGGTTAGAGACCCTGAATGACATGGCTCAAAATCGTTTGCAATGGTGCAGGTGCATAAACTCTTTGTGTTCTCCCAAATTTTGATCTGATTCCTCCTTGTCTCTTTTTTCTCTTCCCAAATTTATTTCACTGTATTATACTCTATAAATAACATCTCCAAACACTAATTTTCCTGATTACTGCTTATACTCTTATTACCTCTACCACTACGGGATTTGAATCGACAAGTGCATCTCTGTGCTAAGGTGGCGTGGCAACTCTAACTGATGTACGTACGTAAATCCTACGTTGTTACTGACTGACTGACTGAAAGAACTAGGATGTCCACTTGATTATTACATCTATGACTTACAAGGTGAATATTTTACTTTAAGGGCTTAGTTATCCACCCTTCCTTACTTACCAATCTCTTTAGCTTTAGATAAACCAGTGTATGTAGCGCTTGTTGTCATGTACTTTTAACTGAAGTTATAATGAAAGCTCTCATATTATTCAGTTAGTACTTTTTAATTCTCTTACTAGAAAATGCTGCTGCTGTAGTTTGTGAATGGAAATAGCTATAGGTCGTGTTCAGCACTAATTGAGAGCTATGTGTGAGTTACTAGCATTTGACTGTCCCCAAACCATGACGCCCTCCGTAGTATAACTAAATATATAGCGCTAATATCAGACGTAGGGTACCTGATTTATGTTGGTTTAGGTTGTAAATCTTCGACTGAGGTCTGTGTCGCGTTACTAACACCTACCGATTGTTTCAAGATTTCAGGTACGCCTTGCTAGCAAGTCCCTAGTACCTTATAACCTATGTTCAGAGTTTCCTAAAGGCTGCCTCCAGCCATTCAATATTCCAACTTGTTTTTACCGTTTATCCTTTTATTTTTGTCTTACTGCGCACGTGTCGAATGACAACTTGAACCACGCTTTTTATCATTTACTTGGACCAATAAGCACATTATAGGCCCTAGATTGGCTGTTATCAACTTGTCATTTTTAGCATTGTATTCTCAACAAATCAGTCGAGTGTGATGTCCGCTTAATAGACAAAGAAATACACCATATAGTTGACGTAAAAAGTATTTCGGTAATTAATTTCGATAATTATTGAGACTGGACGACTAATTTTTCGGGTTGTTACCTTTAAATAAATTTCGATGTACAATTAACTCGTGAAAACCAGTGCTAATACGTTCTAGGAACGACCTTGGCTTTTTGTCACTATGGGTGGGATGTTAGTGAGTTCCCTAATCATGGCTATACATAACTGCGAAATGCCGAAAAATGCATCTCAATAGTACCTAGTGTAGCGACTTTACTTAAACTGTTTATAGAGTGAGCTCTGTCGCAGCTAATGTTTTGCGCATACGCCGATAGCGCCAACGTATAAATATATAATAGGGTCTTCTCAGCACTTGAAGTAACCTTCGACTGGTTTGTCAGTTAGGTGCAAATTTTCAAACTAACCCATGCCAACATACGCGTCCTAATTATAAAAGACGTAGAAGCTGGGGCTTTCTTGACAAAACAAGATAAACAGGCTGAATTCCGTGAGGATCGGTCGTGCACAGACCAAATTATGACGCTATGGATCGTCGTTGAACAATCAGCTGAGTGGAATTCATTATAATACATCAAATTCATTGACTATGAGGCGTTTGACAGTGTAGATAGGACATAAATTACGGAAATCACCAAACTGCATCACAAGGGAAGCCCTAACCAGAAATCCTAAAGCGAAGCGGAAAAGAGGAAAGCCAAAGAACACACTACGTCGGGAACCCGACCGTTGTTGCTACTTTAATGTGGTGGTAGGGCCTGGCCTATCGAAATGAATCATTCGACTTATACTGGCCGGAACAATCGTTCCTCAATGTCTTATTATACCCAAGAGGTCCCTTGAAGAGCTGTAAGACTAAAAGCAACAAACCCAAGGCCGTTGAGGAAAGTCGTACTGCTGGCTGTACAGGGGTGTGACGGCAGTGAGATGTTTCCTTCAGACAACGAGAATAACGGCGATGCTGCCTTCTCACAAAGAAAGAGTGGGGATATAAAACGTCGATCCTAAAAATGCACATACCGCCTTACCTCACGGATTTCTGTCTCCGGCAGTCAGGTTCCAACACGTACGGAGGTAACATGCAAATTACTCACGACTAAATCGTGTGTGACCGGCCACAAACAGTTGTCCCTTGGGTACTGCGGTCACACTCTCAGGTCATTAATACCACTTCTAACCCGATTCCCTTTTCAGGTGCCTCTAGAAGAACCCTTCCACGGTGTGGGCAACCGAAAGTGTAAACCTCCCTCAAACATCTCTAGCAGCACTTGAGATTACTGTATTCATAATCAATCTCCTCCTTCAATTCCTGTTATTCCTCCTGGGTCGACTTTCAACTATAAACTTCCTCCTCAAGTGTCATCATAATCTATGATTCTAGTGCGCGAATTGCTATCCCAGGTTTCCTGAAACCGCTCCAGACTACACGTTGGAGCCTTCAACGTACGCACACTATGTCAAATCGCCCGGCAGGCCTCCTTGACTGAGACTCTAGAATCTCGTACCATTTATGTATGTTGTTTCTCCGAAACACGCGTACCAGATTCTGTGGTCATTCACTTGACCTCAGTTCAGCTGGTCCTCAGCTACCCTGTGCATCTACTCAACATTCCCAGACAGCCTGAATGGAACATTGAAGTGGGTCCCCAACTCTAGCTGAAGTTCAAGAGGCTATAGCTAATCTGAAACGAGGAAGAGCAGTTGGTCCAGATGGATTGGCTCCAGAGGTCTTTAAGTGTGGTAGTCCAATTTTAGCAATTAGGCTGAGTAATATTTTGGCTAAAATCTGGGAGTTGGACGTAATCGCATCCGACTGGTTGCAATCACTGATTGTCCCAATACATATGAGAGGGTTAAAATCATCCTGTGACAACCACAGAGGGATTAGTCTAACCAATATAATATCTAAAATACTAGCCTCGATAATTATCGGGCGCCTAGCTAAGACTCGTGAACCGCAAACACGAGAGAATCAAGCTGGCTTCAGACATGGTCGTGGCTGCATCGACCACATATTCACCATTCGTCAGGTTTGAGAACACAGACATGCTTATCGGCGTCCGACAATGGTGGTCTTTCTTGACTTAAAAGCAGCATTTGACTCTGTAGACCGAGAGGTTCTGTGGCAGTGTGTGTCATTGAAAGGTGTAGCTAAGAAGTGCATAAACCTTGTGAAGGCTCTTTACTCGAACACTACCAGTTTAGTCAGAGGTTATGGCGAACTGTCATCTGATTTTTCAACCTCAAGTGGTGTCCGTCAAGGCTGTCCACTATCTCCATTTTTTTTCAATTTCATCATAGACCTACTGATGGAAACAATGTTCTCGTTGACTGAATTTTCGGGAATTGATCTCCTACCAGGAGGTCCGTTTATCGACTTAGAATACGCAATGATATAGTTCGGTTTGGTGAAGACGCTGATAAAATCCCCAGGAGGTTTGTGATGCGTTTCTCTCGCTCTAATTGCGAATTGTTGCTTCAGGACTGGTCCGTGTCAACACCTGAACTAAGGCTAGGGAGTGAAGTAGTCGAACGCGTTGACAACTTCGCTTATCTTGGAAGTCTGATTAGCCGTAATGGGTAGGTGTCCGACGAAATCTGCACAGACTCGAAAAGCTCGCTTGGCTTTTGCCAACTTACGTCACCTATAGCGAAGGCGAGATATCCGTCTCTCAATTAAGGGACGAGTATACTGCGTAGCAGTTCGATCTGTTCTACTTTACGGCTGCGAAACGCGACCATTGAGGGTAGAAGATTCTCGTAAGCTACTAGTATTTGACAACAGATGTTTTAGAAATAATACTGGTATCTGCTGGGCTCACCGGGTAAGTAATAGTGAGGTTAGACGTAGGGTATTGGGGAATGATGGTAAATCAGTTGATGAGGTTGTAAATCTTCATCGTCTGAGATGGTTGGGTCACGTGTTGCGTATGCCTGAATACCGATTACCATGACGCGCAATGCTAACCGGTGTTGGGGATGGTTGGAAGAAAGTTAGGGGCGGCCAAACCAAAACGTGGCATCAGCGCTTGTAATCACTAACTTCTAGTCTGAGCCATGTTGGTAGATGTAGACTACTTGGTTGGTGTCCACGCCAATATCGTAACCAGTTGTTGGAGACTCTAGGTGACATGGCTCAGAATCGATCACAATGGCGTCGGTGTATACAGTATTTGTCTTCCCTTAAACTGAGAGATTAGGATCGCTTCATATCTTTCTTTCTACGAATTAATACCTACTTCTTGTTCTTTATCCTTACTGCAATCTTTCTTTTATATATTACCACCATTGAAGTAACTACTTCTTTGGATCCGATGTTCATCAAAGTTGATAATGGGGATAGAAGATTGATTTTGAATCGTGTGCTGTCATAGGTATGCAGGGTGTTGTCGATTCACCGTTGTATACATCCGGCAAGCATACTTACTGAGTTGCCCGAAAAGGAAACTGGATCAAGTGGTATTCCTGATGATCGGCTAGAGTGACTTTCGGATCACTCATGACTTTTATTGTAATTCACGATACGTAAATTGCATACATTTAAGGCCTTATCACCGTCAACGAGAATTCGTCAGGCAAGGTAACGTGTACTTTTTTGAGGCCGATCTTTTCAGTTTTACGACTGTGTATGGCTTGACAAAAAACTGTTAAATGGTTTCGAAGCTACACATCCAGCTATGTAAAATATGAACATATAATATTTACGAAAAACGCTTGTTTGTTAAACAAATTCAATTAAATTTTATGACATTAAAGATAACGTGTTTGCTTGTTTGAAACCTAGGATTTCATGCACTACATCGTAAAAAATTGCTTCCGACTAGACTTAATTCAAAATGCTTCACTAGAATGGTTTAATAGCTCTGTGTCACAACTGACGTAAGTATATCAACAACTTGCAGTTAACTGTAATAGTTGAATAATGTGTTAATTACATGAGCTTATATATGTATATATACCCTTGTCATACGACAGATTCTTAGGTAAAGCTGTTAGTCCTATTTTGGTTCAGTATAATGTTCCTGCGAAATCGACTTGTTCGAGTAATGCACCAATTACAGTACTGACTTTATCCTGATTTCGTGATCACTTAAATGTTCTCCCTCCACTTAGATCTTGTATATTTAATTATCGCTATGACTCCCGCTATCAACACTCCGGTTTTTTTCGCCCTGATCGCATAAAGAAATTGTAGTCTGTGGAGCCAGTTGCACAATTTAGATGAGTAGAGGGAATAATTATAGGTTCCCAGATCGGTACGTTCACATCCAGGGTGTTAGGAGTTGAGTGTTTGTACAGCGAAAGGTGTAACTCAACTAATCAACTTTCAACAGACTAATGCTGAAAGTGCTAACATTTAGCATAGAATCTGTTAACAAACATTCTTTAGTTCATCTTTTTGAAAAGTTTTCTCTCAGAATATATATATATATATATATATATATATATATATATATATAATATGATTTATTTTTGTGCTGTTTGTAAATTTTTCAATTTATATCGGTAGGTACAGCTAATATCTGTTCTCACATTTAAACTGGTTCCTAATTCATAACTAAATGGTTGTGTTTATACAGCTGATCGGACAAACTTTTTGTGACAACTAGGTCGATCTACTTGTGTAAAAGTTTGTGTTTAGAGAAGTACAGATAACTTCTGAGTTTCCAAGATTTGGGGCAATGTTTGAACATGCGTGTTCAGGAGTAGCCAGTCATTTATTTAAAAATCAACGATCAAAACCTTAAGTTCAATTGAATACTAAAAATCATACTTTACTCAAATATAGTTAAATCCGAACAAAATAAATTATTTAAACTTAACTGAGTGATCTCTATCCACTTGAAAACAGTAGCTATGCAAATTTGTGGCCCTACCACATTGAGGACCCTTGTTGTGGGAAACTGTTTTCTTCCAATTGAAGATTTTTAGAAATTTCCTCTTAGCTGTCATGCGGTCTATTGTAGTGTTACTAGATGTTATCATTCGAATTCATCCATATAGTGTTTTTGTCCTAATTGTTACACAAAATGTTAATTTTTCAGGCAAATACTAAAAAGCAAAAGTACGAACGTATATATGAGAAGAAATTAGCTACGTCACCTGAAGCCCTATGTAAAGGTTATCCTGTAGAATTCGAAAAATATTTGCATTTCGCTCGTGGTCTAGCTTTTGACAGCCTTCCGGATTATGTATTCTTGAGAGGGATTTTCCGCCGTTTGTTTCAAAGCCTTAATTTTGTTCTGGATTATGTGTATGATTGGGCACTTCTGGGTACAAATTCTTCTAATACTAATCAGTCAATAATGAATGCTAATCCAGAGTGTGAAGATAATGCGAATCAGCATCAAAATAATACAGAATGTCAGGGAATCGATAACACAGTGGGGGCAGCTCAATGTGCGCTTCCAGCACCTCAAGTATATGGAAATCATAACCACCATAATATACCTGTCCAGCAATCACAGCCTCAGCAAGTGCTTCCACATGCACATAGCCGTGAAGGAGTTCAGCAATCAACATTTCATTCTCAATTCGTTAGTCAGTCTGGAAATTCAGGCACCCAAACCAATGCGTATAATGCTCCTGGCACAAGTGTAGAGTATGGTATGCGTTGTATGCCCACAGAAATGCGCCGTTAATTCCTTCAGGATTATACAAATAACTTCTGCCACTTTCAGTTAATCGCGCGTGGAGATAATAAACTCTATGCTGTCAAATTTCATTTCCGCCATCATTAATTGGAATTTCAACTTGTTTACTCACTGACAATTAACATCGTTATTTACTTGTGAATAATATTTAGATTCCCACAAAGTTCTCATGCGCTTTCTCTACCTCTCATCTCAACTCAATGCTTTATTAAATTGATTTCATTTGGGTACTTATTAAACCTGTACTCAATACCATTACGTTTATGTGAAATTAACATGCTCGAACAGAGCACTATCTTCCAATGTTAACTTGGTTGACTGTACTTGTATTCCGGTGTCCACTTTGAACAGGCTGTCTTGCGCTTCATTGTTTTATTGGTATATTAAATGAAGTTTAGTGCATAATCTTTTGTTCATACGGTTTCGTGCTGTAGAATTCTTGTAGTGAGCAATTTTCAATATTACTCAGGTACTTCAGAACTGATATAATTTTCTGTCAAAAGTATTTTGACACAAACTGTCAATCAATTTGCTTGCAGTGTTATTATTGTCACTTAATATCTGTTGTGTTCGATCATTTTTGTAATACACATTGCTGAAGGCTATTTATCTAGTGGTATACCCGTTCGAGTATAAATTCTGGACACTCAAGAAAATAAATTTATCAACACGATATGTAACACTCAAGTGAGATTACCGAATTCATCCTGAAATTGGACATTTGTCACACAATACCATATTAAAGTAGTCTTACAGTTTGTGACAAGTTTCTTTGTTGTAATGTATTCTTCAAATGGCTCCGAAGAATTACGCTCGTCCATGATTTACGTTTATATGTTCAGTAGGTTGTTAGCTGCATGAGAATCGAAGATAGTTAATAAGTTACGGTTCGTCAGTCAAATTGTGATCAATTTGTTTTTAAATTGTCAGGTAGTATTATTATAATCAGAAAGCCATAAGACGAAAACATAATTGAAGTTGTGCGTCTCATACAAAAACGTCCATATGCCACAATTTAATAGTATTTATATGGCAGTTCTATTAGCAACTGTATGTGTTTAGCATTTTTTTTTCAGGGAAAGCGTTTTTATTTAACCAAGTTCCTTAAGGAATGTAATCAAAAGTAACTGATTCGGTATGAAATATACAATCCTCCATCTCGAAGGGTAATGAAGTAAAGCATTTAACTACATTTCTGTGGGCTGTTTACCTGTTGGTTATGAAATGTACTGCACTTTCAGTCAGCGATTGTACATATATATTGTTTATATATATATATATATATATATATATATATATATATATATATATATATATATATATATATATATATATGCAGTACACTTTATATACTTCGACTCATTGAGGTTTCTCTGAGATGACCGGACATCCTGTTGGAAATAACGTCTTCATGGGCTGTTGTAGATGAATCATTTAAGGGGCAGCACTAATTCACCATAACAACAAACTATAGACAAGGATTGGATTGCATTTAGTCGCACATGTACTGGACTTACAGCGAATATCGTGCTACTACAATCTGTTTGCTGATCATAATTTAATAAAACGGGAGGATACAACCATTATTGTCGCAGGCATTCAACCTAGGTTAGTGCGATCTCTCGGGTTTCGTTATTATCCCTGCAACACCAAGGCAAACTACCTTACTCCCACTGCCATAGTGTATCCTTACACTGACTTCCAATCACTGGACACCAGGTTAATTACACCAGTCGCGTTTTCAGATAATCCGTTTCAATCCCAATCTCTTTATCCAGACAATACTTTGCTGATGCAATACATTGACATCCGCTTCACTAAATAATAAGTCTTTACAATAGTAAATTGGACATCTCGACGGGGATTTAATCCAGTTCATTTAGAAGTAAGATCAATCTGTGAAAGCTCCGAAAGGTCTATGCTTACCACTGTTGCGATGTTTGGCTATCGGAAATGAGAGATAGTGAGATTCCCATCTCTCTGAAATGAGGATGCCGGGAGTATTCCTAATATCTAGTGGCAACATAAGTAGGAATGGAATCTAAAAATGGGTTTCCAAGAGTTGTTACTCAGTTTAAAACGGCTTCGGTGGTTTAGACGCTCTACAAATGTTTACTGTATGTATGAGTCCAACTACGGTGGTGATTATATTCTTGCTTGTCGACTAAATGTGACCACTTAAAAACATAAAGCTGAGATAAGGCTGCAACTATGTATTCTATATTGTGATTATTATTTTGCCGAGGTTTAGTTAGTTTCATACACTGAAATATATATACTGTCTACTTACTGTTTTGTTCTACGTGTAAAACTGAGATCAGAAGTTCATTGCGTTTTCGTTTCTATGAATTTCAGTTCAATCAACAAAGTTCATACTTTTTGCGTGACGAAACACTGCGTTGTCAGAACAGTAGTTCGAGTGAAAATTTTTTGCTCAGGGTTTAGAAACAGCTTAGAACTTGAAATTATTTGTTTATGTGGAATGAAGGTAAGTACATCCAGAAACTAATTAGTTTTCACCCACAATAAATACTCGTAATCAGATGGTTTGCGCGACCTACATTTTTCCAAAAAAGACTAATTATGTTTCGTCATGTAGGTTTTGATTTACGGTCTTGACTAAAAGGATGCATGTTGAGATCAGACGCATTATATCCCCTCTAGACGTGTCTTAATAGATACTTGAATAATCCACTTTATTATAGAAGAATATCGGGAGAAATTGTTTCTGTTCGACTGCAACTTACAACTACCATACATAACCTCCTGGTTACAGTTTTTAATCTTTTATTACGACAGGAAAATGTTGCTGCTGCCGTAGTATTTCCCTACTTCTGAATGTCGAAATAGTTTGAACCTGCTGGTGGAAAAATTAGCATGGTATCCCGAAAATATGGGTTATAGGTCGTTATGCTTTTCTTTTAACTGATGTGTGACCTAAATTGTCTCCTTCGCTTTTTGTTCGGTAAGATTGTAATTATCAAATCTTATCATTGGACAAAGAGGTCATGATTATTCATAGGAAGAAAATAGGTGTTATTTATTATGTTTAACAATTCGATGTGGAAGTTTGTAGATTGTACAATGATATGGCTATCTGGAATTCTACGGAAAATTCGATGTTTGAAAGAGTTGAAATAAAGGCTGGATAAGTCTTATGCATCTTGCAATGAAGGTTCAGTGTTTACGGACCTACCTAATCAACCAATAAAGGAGAAAATGCGTTGGGAAATTTACTTATTTAAACACATAAACATTGGTACAAGGAGGCACCAAATACATATGCGCCACATAAGTCATCTGATTTGTGTAAGGGCTGTGATATAATGCCCGGGTGCCCAGACCGAAGCAGGTGGTCTTTTTAGGGGGCCACACTCCTAACCTTTGACCTTAAGGTCTGACCCACAAGGCAGTGTAGCATCGTGAGGAGATATAGTCCCATGGTAGCCGGTAGCGTTGGAAAATAGTGGGGAGACGCGCATTTAAAATCATACAAGCCTTCTCGACACTTAGTCAAGGACTTTCCCATGGAATAAAGAAGTTAGCACATGTTTAAAAAATGTCTATTGAGAACGAAGTTGAATATGAAAAATATTCCACTGGCTATTTTTTCGTAAGGTCTGTTCGACTATTGTGAGTCAGAATATTCTTGTGAATTCTGAGATTTAAAGAACAGAAAATATTGCGATATCTAAATGACATTTTTTACACAATCAGCTACATGAAGCTTTAATTACGGTTATGTTCGCTAACAGTGAAGACTGTACCCATTCATTAGCCGCGTCAATATGGCCATCTGTAGTAAGAACAAATGACCAAATTAGTCATGTTGACTTACCAATCTGTTTCTTATGTCTTACTGCTGAAGACAAGCGTCTAACGTTTCCAGTTCCTCTTCAGATTACGAAGGGAACTGTTGACTTGAAAGTCCGCAAAGGAATTCCCGCGGGTGTTAACGCTCACAAAACTTCGACAGTAACTGCTTCATATTGAAACTCAAGTCAGAAATACCCGATGATATGTCCTGCAGTACAGTATACAGTCTGTTAAATCCTAAAAATTTAACTCAATCGGACACGTGACTTATTGTCCGCTAACGCACTGCCCACATGCCTATATTCGTACGTTGATGGCCACGTATTTAATTGTGTCGAACTAGTTAATTAACATCTTAAAAGTAAACAAACCCACTTGGCAGTCAATAAGACAAATGTTCTGTTATGGCCGAGAGCGGGGTGGGTTCGCCCTCCCTCTCGAAATACTCTCAAACGACCACGCGTATACATCCTGTGCCAGGGAAGTCCTACTCACTGCCTTCTCGTGGCGGGGGTGTTGTTTATGAAAATGAGAGGACGAAAAGTGAATGCCCGGCGCTTTAACCGGATCCCAAAACAAATCAATGGTGCTCATGGGTTCCAGTATCCTGGGGGAACAAATAGCGTATGTGGTGAACCAATCGTTGGTCACCGTCCACCAAGGGACTGCATCTCCTCACGATGTTCCACTGCCTTGTAGATTAGACCTTTAGGTCAAAGGCTCGGGGAGTGGCCCCCTAAGATAACCACCTGCTTCATTCTGGGCATCCGGGCAGTATCACAGCCCACACACAAATAAAGTGAAGGTGAAAATGATTATATTTACTGAAAATTCTATTCACGCCTCAATTGACAGTCAAACAATTCACATTATTATTATTTACCACGTCACTTATCCACTCTCTTTTATTCCCACTTTATGTATCCTTATTTTTCGAATTATACAGCGACTCGCCTATGGTGGAAACTCGGTTCTATCTAAACGTCCTCGAGTCACTACCTGGTGGAAAATTGTATGCTACCACCAAATACGAATACTGAAGCAATTTTTCTGAAACCACATGCACCACTCAAACTAGCTGCCTTCAACGTTCGCACACTTATGCAGGTCGGACAACAAATAGGGTTGGCTATAACTTTGCAAAGTCTTAATATCGACGTTTACTGTCTATCCGAGACCCGTATTCAAGACTCTGGTGAAGTACTACAAATTCGCTCTACATCTGTCACTTCAAAAAGCTTGTTTCACGTTCGTTTATCCGGGGACCCTGTGGCATCTTCGTCTGGTCTTGCAGGAGTTGGTGTCGCACTAAGCACTAAGTGCGTTCGACAGATATTGTAGTACTAGCCGGAGACTTGAATGCTCAGGTAGGGCGTCTAGGCACAGAAGACAGTCGTTTAGGTGGCCGATGGGGACTTGTTGGTCGCAGGACAGATAACCGGGACCGTCTACTGCAACTGTGCACAGACCACAACCTGTTTCTCGCTAGCACTAACTTTCGGCACAGTCATCACCGATGTGCCACCTAGAGTCCTGTCTCTGCATCTCAAACTTGAACTCAGATTGATCACATCGCGATCAGCTACCGCTGGCGTGGTTGTGTACAAGACTGCCGCTCCTTTTGGAGTACCTATCTGGACTCTGATCATGTCCTGGTCTGCGCCAATCTTACCTTACTTTTCAGTGGACAACGAAGTGACCGCCATCAACGGATTGATATTAGCAAGCTGGTTGCAACTTCTGTTGCAAGTAAGTATCGAACCGAGCTAGCCTCTAGGCTAGCTACCA